CGCCGGCCGAGGCGTAGCTGGCAAGCGGCAGAGACGGAGCAGGCCGACCACCAGCTGGCCCAGCCCAAGGGAGGTAAGGCACCTGCCGGAAAAGGGGGAAAAAATGGCGGACAAAAAAAATGGTGGACAGCCTTGCTTGGCGACCCCCGTGAAATGGTTGACCGACCCCAAATGGGGTCCCGACCCACAGGTTGAGAACCACTGATATAAAAGATTGAACAAGAACAATGTACTTTCAATAAAAACATGGATAATAAGATATTTTTGACTGGTAAATATATTGTAATTTAATTCTTTAAACAGTTGTCTTGTCCGATTATTTAAATAATTAAACTGATTTTATTTAAATGAATGTTACATAAAAATTAAAATTGTCAGTAGAATGTGTGTTATATAATTTACATCACATTTCAAACTTAATATACCAGAACCAAAACTATAGTTCAGATGACTAGCTTCATATCTGATATGTGGTTAAAAACACAGTCAGCATTTTAAAAAAAAAATCAATACTGCTTTCAAACAGAATAAGGTCAAATAAGCAAAATTTTGCAATAAATATAAACTTCTGAGGAGTCATCAATATGGTGAAGGAGACAAAAGTCACTCTACTATACTGGGAGGGGGGAGATGCCCAAATGTTAAAAGTGGTTTGTCAGTCAATCAGAATTATATTTTGATTACCAACAAGCTTTCTACTATAAGTTTGCTTTAAAGAGGTTCCACATTCCATTGCACTGCCCCTCTGAAAGCAGGACATGCTCACTTTCAGGACAAATGAGTGGCTTAAGTTCAGTAAAACTATAATCATATTGGGCCTAATGCATGCTATTAAGAGAACCTCAATTGTTTGATATACTATGTTCAATCCTATAACAAGAAAAAATGGGGTTGGTTCAAATGTTATTATTCCAGCAGGTATTATAAAATCTCCAAGTGCTGATTCTCGCTATAGAAACCACTATTTGCTAATATCCTAAGTGAGTCACTCACTGCTAGCACAGATAATGCTTGCTTAATGACCATTCATTCAGCGATTGTTCAAAGTTACGGTAACATTGAATGAATTTTAGTTATGCCTGGTCCTTAAAATTAAGGCTGTTGCAGCGCCTCCAGGGCCATGTGATCAAAATGAGGGCACTTAGCAGCCCACTTGCACTTAGCATCACAGGGGTACTTCAACTCCCCACACTGGTTATCTCTCCCCCATCTATTGCCCTTTTAGCTGCCCTGCACTCCACTGTCCCTGCTGCCCTTCCAGAGCCTCACAAGCAGGGCAAGCAGAGCCCATGATCTGCAGAGACAACAGAATGCAGGGCTGCCAAAAGGACAGCGATGGGGAGGAGACAGGAGGGTGTGGAGGAGCGGAAGAGGAGGTAGTCCCTTACTTTCACTGGGGTTTGGATTTAGGAGGGACCAAACCAGGAATAGCTTGGATCGGAATGGGTCCTCCCCATAACCAGCAAAAAAAAGGTAGACCTAACAATAATAGCTATAGGGAATGTTCATGTTCAAGATCAATGACTAAGTATACAGACTGCAATAAGTCAAAATATCATTTGTTAATCTTGATAAAGTCAACAAGCATTAGCAAAACATGAGCTTGATTGAAAAAAATTTTTGTTGGAGTAATAGTGCTTTAGATATATAGCATTAGAAATGTGCTTTTCCATGTTCAAAGAGATATAATTCTGTGATTATACCTATCCTAGGATGCCCAGTACTGTACATTCAAGATTCCTGTTGGTTCAGGCCTAAGTCAATTTAGTCCACCATCCTGCAACCCATGGCAATCATTTTCCAGTATTACTATTCTAAATATTTTCAGCTTTGTTACTCACCAAACAGGTTTTTCAAAACAGGAAGCCACAGTTTAAGATACACAGATTTATTCACTTCTTAATATTAATGGAAGCATTCTTTTATGGGAAACGGGGAAAAAACTAACCGCTCTCAAGCCTGTTAAGTATAAATGCAGGAATAATTCTTACGTTCAACACCTGTATTCCAAAAATTAAAAAACATGAAAACTCAAAATTTCAGCCTGTTAAAGCTGTCTCAAAATAACAATAAAAGTAACACTTAACCTAATTATTTACTTAGTTACCAGCCTTGCAAATTTAAAGCTTTAAGACAACACTGCAATATGCATCTACTTATACACTAGAGTATATTCAAGATATCACAATGATATGGAGTAGCTCCTAATTAACATTTATTTCTTTAAAGATTTTTTTTTTCAGAATTGCTTTTCTGTTCACAGATGCTCAACAATAAATGGATGAAAAAATAATAAAATAATTTCATAATAAAAATGCATTAAGGTTGGGATCCTATATCTACTGAACCAGGCAGAATCATTACTCCAAAGTTTACTTCCCCTAAATCAATGTCAAATCATACCACAGAATTACAGAAGACATATTATCAAATCCAATCTCTTCCACAGTACAAGAATTTAAAGCTAAAGCATTTTCTAAACATTGCTGCATAGCTTCTGTGTTAACACATTCAGTCAACTACCTACTACCTCACTGGGAAATTGTTCTCATTATCACATTCAAAGGCCATTTGTGGGCCTTAGAAAGAGAGCCTATTCTGTTGTGGCACCAACCCAATATAATCTCAAACTGGTCAAACTGGCCCTAACCTACTGGCTTTTTGTAAACAAATGGCTTTGCCACTGAGTTGGGAATCCAGGTGTGCAGTACAGCTTGTGCAGTGCCTTTGTGAAATGTTGTTGATTGCTTTTATAGCTTGGCTGCCAATTGTATGATTTTTAATATTTTATATAATACTTTTATATTGTGCACTTTTGTGTTGAACCTAAGCTACCCAGAGCCATATATTTGAGATGGGTGGCTATATCAATTGAATAAATAAATAGCCATTATTAACATACCCTATTTCTACAGTTTAACTAATTTATGTCAATTGGTTTGATTACATGCCTTCACTTTTATAGTGTCAAAAGAAAAACCACTGCCTGCCCAACTGGAAATAAATTCTGCCTTCTGCTTTTCACAATTGCTTGATGGAATACATATCTTCTTGGTTGGAGAAGAATAAAACCTGTAACACTTGAGTAATCCTATTTTCTCTTTATAACTGTTACTGTTTTGTTGCCTTCACTGAACACATAACATTGATTTTTCTCTTTTTGCTGTGAATGTATCTAAATAAGTATGGTTCTTAGCAGCATCTCTCAACAATAAAAGCTCATTTTGAACTTTTGCTTTCCAGACACTAGCTCCAGAATTCCAAACTAATTGTGTTCTTATTTGTTGATTTAGCTTTCTTTCTACTTCTACATATAATTTTTTTATTTTTGGCATTTCAATGAGGATTTTTTTCTGCAGCTACATTGGCTTCTATTGCTGCTTTATATTCCTTTTCCTTCTTGAAATTGTAAATAATTCCTTTTATTAAGAATGTCCACACATCCTGAAGGGTTTTTTTTTTCCATCAGCTTCATTTTTCATGGAATATTGCTCATCATTGCCTATTTTTAAAATCCAATTTTGTGAAGTCCAGATAAAAGCTTGATTATATCCAGTTCTCTAAAATACCAAATAAATACATTTATTTCATATAAAATTGCAACAATCCATACCAGCATGATACATCCTCTCTAATATAAACAAAATCCTGTGTCAAGATCTGCTCTGATATCTTCCTTGTGGCCATGGCAAACAATACAACTTGTTTTGTTACATCATGTTCATCTATATCAGTCAGCAGGAAGTACGCTTTTTTCTTCTAAACTAGACTAATTCAGATGGATTAACAAAGTAGATTGAAACCACAAAAAGTGTCCAGCAGAGCTGCATACTAGCTCCCTTCCTTTTCATTTTGATATAAACAGCATTGTAGTAGAGGTTAATAATCCTTCCCTTTATATTCTGTCAACCGGAAGTAGAAAGGTGACAATTCTGACAGTATTTGCCACTCATTCTAGGAATGAGTACTTACAGGTAAAAAACCAATATGATAGTATTTGCTAAAAGATCTTAAAGACTAGATGGACACTAGATGCTGAGATAGAACTAGCAAGTATTTGGGTAAGCAATTTATCATGAAAACAAATATGGGATCAGCAAGAATAATGGCTATGAGATTAGTACAGCCTATACTCAAAATCTTCCAGGGCAAAACAATCTCACCATTAACATATAGAACCCCAATTTGAATTATCAGTAAACTAGAAGAATTAGAAGAGGTTCAGAATAAATTCATGAGATCATTTTTAGCCTCTTCCTCATATACATCAGCAGCAATGTTGAGGTTAGTAATAGGCCTTCCACCAATTAATATAAGGGTAAAGAAAGCAAAAATCTTATCTTACAGAAAATTGTAAGTCATGCTCAACACTGCCTTCAACAATGCGTTCATGAACAATTTAACATTAATTTATTGGTGAATTTGTGTCTAAAACATTCTTATAATTTTCTCTACACCAGAAACTGTTAAACAACAAATTATCATACCCTATTGAGGTACTATTCATTTTTTAAAGATTTTAGACAGGATAAAGAGTAGGTATGTAAGGTTAAGCTGGTCAAGTACTATCAATCTTTTAAAGTTTATTTACTTGCCTCTCTAAGCAGGATTTTTTTTTTTACATTTTAAATAGTAAGGTGTACTACATGAAGCCCCTTGTAATTATCAATTCCACAAATCTCAGTTTAGAATAAATCCAACAAACAAAATGAATTTTGGAACAAGTTACTTAAACAAGGTTGGCAACTGTACTGCAAATATATTAACTGGGTCCCCACAACCTTTTTTATGGATAGTCAAGAGATGGTTTAATTTAAGTTTTTTATTTCTTTAAATTACTTCCAATAGTTGCCATACAAAACACTGCTTTAGACTACACTTAATTTAAATAACAATTTTTGTGCATCTGTGAGAGAGAATACAGTTCAAGAAGCATAAATCAAACATTCTCTAGGGTACAGATAATTCTTTGGACAGTAGCCATTTTCAACACAACTTACTTCCAAACAGATGCATTTAGAGCAGATCTGCCAGAACTTTTATCACCAACACATCACAATCTACAAACTGCAGTAATAGGCATGGCTTCCATTCAGCAGCAGAATATATATACAATACTGCTTTTTCCTGAGGGTCCCATTTTCAGAGAGCACATGAGACTGCAGTACCAAAGCCTACAATGGGACACAGAGATATTGTCAAAACAAGGATAAAAGCAACAGCAAGGAAAAGATTTAACAGAAGCTGCCTTGATCCAGCTTTGGCAGTTATACCCTCCAACTGAAAACATAAATATTAGCAATACTGAAGAGGGTCCTCCAAATTTCCAGGCACTTTTTCATGAGATACAAATTGCAGAAGGGAATTAGAAAATCCAGTTCTGTAGAGAATCAAGTGTCCTATTTAATGTTCAAGATATTCATCATCCATTATCTAACATGGTGGCAGTACCTAAGAAGTCTTGACATATTAAATAAGCTAAACAATCATCAGTATGATTAGTACAATGAGAACTACCAAAAAATCTCAGGGCAATAGGCTAGACTGAAAAGTCAAAAGCAAAGTAACAGATGACAAGAGCAAATAACTTTTGCATTGCTTTTAAGAAAATTACATGCCCATGTTATCAGTAGATTTCAAGCTCAACTCGATGGAGTTTTCACTTTTATTCTATTACTTCTTTTAAATAATTATTTTACAAATGTGGCTGTTCTACTAATTCTCAGTCTAAAACTATAGGGTTAAATCCACTGTTGGCCATTCACATACCCTACTGGTATGTAGGAATGACCTTTGGAGACAGAAAGAACAGCTACAGTCTAGACAACAGTCTGATAAATGAAATTTGAGTGGAAAGAAGAAGGCTGTGAAAGTCTCTCAGAAAGGACCCTCTTTAGTTTTAGGGAAAGTAAAAGTGAGGGACAGGAGGGGTACATTGAGACTTACAAGATTAATGTTAGCCTTGTGTTATAGTTCATACAAGAAGCACAATAAGGAAGTCTAGCTCTTTTATTATTGTAAAGGTACATTAAGAGAATCTTGTGAATCTGAAAGTACCATTATCTAGGGTGAGGCTCTTCCTCTTGTCTCCCAATGTCATTCTCACATACTATTATATCTACACAAGGTAAGGCACCTGATGTCCATAATTATCTCCTTCCCACTGACCCCCACCCCCCCAAAGTTTCTTCTGAAGGTTGGGGATATTTCCTGCATTGTATGGGATGTAACACAGATGATAGTGAAAGAGCATTTATTATATCCAACCAACATAATTTATCAACTTTAATGAACCATGTACCATAATTGATGGATAAATAAAGAGGGTGGCAGATACTTTTTAAATCCCAATGTTATTTATAAGTAAAGAAATCTTTGGCCTTGGTTTCAGGAGATTGTATACACGAAGTTTTCCAGGCTATGTTATACAAGTGGTTTAGCACTAAAATGCTTTTACATCAGCTGGACATTTTGAAATAGGACCACAGATTTAATTTCATGAAACAATTTGAACTGTCTGCAGTAAAAATATAGACAAACAAAACTACAAATGCCCAACAACTCAACTAACAAGCTGTGAACTGGCTTTTACCTTGTCACTGGTTTATATCTGGAACAACTTTCATTAATGAGTATAGATAGTGAATAATGGAAAATTTTCATAATATTTGAGAAAAATGTTAGCTTTAGTAATCTTGAAATGTCTTGACAATAAACCTTTTAATATTTCTATCACAGGCTTCAAAAACCTGGAGCAATCTAGAAGTTTTTAGTTCCAATTCTCATAAACCTAAGCCAAGATAACTAAAGATCATGGATTAGGCAATCAAAAAGAACTGAAGGACATTACATTGGCTACCCCTGATTTAAATTATAAACACTCTACACTGCATATTGGAAGTTACCTCCAATAATCTGATCCATAAATGGAATGGCATCTGCTAGCAAAATGGATCCCTGCTACCCTTTGCAAAACTTCACACAACTCCAAATTCCATCTAGAGATTTGAGAGAGACTTGATAGCATAACATCATCACGCATAGCCCACAACTTGATTATGTTTCAGTTATAAAACACCAAGTTATATTTGTGTAAGCTTATCCAAGAGTTATGACATTAAAGAATAAACATGCAAAATTTAGTTGCTGAAATAGTCACATCATATCTGGAAATGCATTGTCTGTTCACATAATTTTTCCTTTTATAATTACATACTTTGGTATTTTATTAGAAGTTAAAATCTACTGTATTTCTGCTGGCAAGACAAAAATATTTAGAGGTAGAGAGACTAGATTTTTTAATGTGTTTTAGCCCATCAATGGCATTATGCTACATCTAATGCACATATGAAACAGTGAGAATTTTTGATCACTCCATCTGCTAGTTTTATCTTCATAGGCTATATTACACTACACCCTACTATATGCTACACCATATGTTTGTTGGAGCAGGATTGTAGGACTTGTTTAGTTTCTACTACTAGACAATACTTGTTTAACCTTTCTCTGTTTGCTTTTGTTTCAATGGAGTTAAAATCACTTAAATTTGAAAATGCCTCCTTAACACCATTAATCAGAAAATATTTCCACACAAACACTTTAAAAGTCAGTTCTATATAATTCTATTTAACTAAGTATTTGACTGCCTGTTTGACCCTCCATGTAGGAATTCCTATTTTTTTAAACTGTATAGACTTCCATAAGTTTGTCACAGAAAAACATATTTTATATTTAGAAGACAGTGTCACAGAATGTCTGACTTATCCAGAGAGATTTAGGATCAAATAACACCTAAGCTATAAAGGCAATAAGTGACCTTGGACTAATCATTATCTTATTCTGGTGAAGAAAATAGTCCCAATAGAAAATAGTTCCAATAGCCGAAGGTCATTGTGAAGAAATGCACATACACACACACACAGTACATACACAAACACACACACACTGCATAAGAGCCCCTTGGAGGATGGCATATAAATAAGTAATTACAAAATTGATTATCCAATAATTAATAGTTTAGCAACCCGCTTTTATTAACAGTTTGATAGCAATTTCTCCAACCAATTACAAAAATATACTCTGGAAATGTAAGACTATTATAATTTCTTTAAAAATTAAAATATAATTTGTCCAAATATATTACCTCTAATCTTAATTAAGACTAAATTAGTTAAGAATTATATTCTTACTTTCTTATTTACCAGTTAGCAGATCAATGTTCTACTATAACCATCTGAAAAGTTCAAGATATAACAATAATGCTATAAACGTATCCTTCTTGAAATGTATTTTTTACTATCTGACAACAATTATGCAATTAGATGCCAAAGCTAATAAAATACCAGCAAAAATGTTAATTTAACCAGTGTGCAAAGCATTAACAAGTGTAAAAAGTATGACAGAATAGTATCAGAAGATACATGGTCTAGAGAAAACCCATGGAAAATAAATTGTGGAATACTCTCGACAAAACAAATCTCACCAATTAGATACCTAGAGCGAGCGGTGTGGGGTGGTTTCATGATCAGATCAATTTCTTACTTTTTCAAAATATATTTATGATTATAAACACTCTAAACCATTTAATAGGAAAGAGAATAGCAATGGGAACATTACAACAGCTGCAAAATTCTTGTACAATTTCACCTACATAGAATGCCAAGGACAAAGATATGGAGAAAACATTATAATATCAATACAGATTATTAGAGGAGATGCTTTCTTGTACTCCCTTGGAGCTTACAAGGCACAAGGTGAAATCTGATAATAAAGTAAAAACAAAAATATTATCTGAAACACACTATACAATATTGTAACCAATCTCTATCGTTCACAGCAAATTTATATGGCATCAGATCAGGGGTGTCAAACTGCCGGCCCGCAGGCCAGACGCGTCACCCGGAAGCCGCACCCACCCCATTGCCAGCAAAGGCAAAACTGTCCCGATACATTGCGCGATGTCACATGACATCGCGAGTTTGACATGTCTGCATTAGATTGTTATCAGTAAATGATATCAGATTAAAAACAATGGGGTCCACTCCTGAGGGCAAACTCTGGATCCAACTTATTTAAAAATGAGGAAATTCTAGATTTTAATAATTATAGTTGCATATACAAATATATGTTAATATGAACTAATGTAAAATTATTTGAAGAAATCTCCCTAAGAAACAAAAGGTTACTTAATAAGAAAGGCCTTTAAAGGCAACAAAACCACTTGCTTCCTTTAATTATGATACTGTACTCTTTTAAAACAAACACACTATTATGTTTATTCGTTTTTCCAATATTACTCTATTATTATATACTTCAATAATATATATTCTTCTGGATGATATCTGCTAAAGCATTAATTATATCACCACCATCATCAAAGGAAGCATTTATCTCCTTTCAATAGTTACTGTAAATATTCAGTGAAGTTGTTTAGAAATATGAAATATAAATAAATAATAACCAAGATCACTTAAAATCTGTTTCCAATTACAATATTGATCTATTAATGCAGTATGAAATTCTGTTTCACAAAACCTACTGAATACTGAAAGTTACCTAATTCGGTTATTTCATTAATGCAAAGTTTTCAATAGCATTGCAATACAGTTTGCTGAGAGAAATCAGATGCACTAGCCCAACACAATATACCTATTCCACTCAATGGAACAGTTGATAGCATTTGAAGAAACCACCACTTTTTTCTTTTTAAAAAAATGTAGAAACTCTAGCCCTAAGGAAGCAGAGTATAAAAAATACAAGACAGGAAAGCAGCTTTGCTGGAGTTTACAGTTAAAAGACATGCAGGATTAACCTTGTTTACAATTTGGACAGGCTTCCAAGGAATTTGAGGGCTTTATGTCAAAAGGTAAAACAAAACTTTTCCCTGAGGAAAGCAGTGACAAGCCATTTACAGACTTTTCCAGTGGGGTTCATATATTGTGCTAAGCTATTATTTGTTTTACTGAATAAATAACACTGCTACAACATATTTATAAAAAAGTTAGCTTCAAATCATAGTTTA